CACACGTGTCACTAGAGATTGTATGTTTACCTCCGATCAGAATATTCCCTCTGTAGATGAGACTTTGCTTTTGTCATGATGTCAACATATACATCATGTTCTTCAGCACACATATTTAAAACATGCAGAGTCTGTGTTCATTGTAATAGACAATTTGTATGAATATTTATAACCCCAAGTTGAATAGTTAGAATTGCATTAATTTACATCACTATTGATGGAGTTAGGTTTGGATTTACCTATTAGTGTTCTTATAAATCTCAGTAATAGATGTAATGGAGGTCCCCTTAGCAATGTGCCTTCAAGTAATTCTGTAACCATAGCAAAAGAAAGCATTAAAGTGTCTTGAAACAATTTTCCTTTAAAATAGTGTCTCTCTGCCTTGCCAGATAGTTATTACAACACTGTGTTTTATGTTTTTATCTTTGTTAATGCAGAATTGGCAATGATGTTGGCTTCAGAAGGGCATTATTATGCCAAAAGAATGCCCAAATGGTGAAGAAAGAACATATTTACTCACTCTTATGAAGGTGAGTAGCATATTTATAATAACATCAGAATTAATGCATGCTGAATTAAAGGTTGTGATCTTCAGTAGAATTAGATAAACATTAACAGCTAGTTCACAGTCTAAGTTGTATTTTTGGATGACACTCGAGCTGTTGCTAGTGTGAAGGAGCATATATTTTGAAACACTGAATGAAAACAGAAGGTTGATACCTAAACTATAAATTTGAATTTATATCCCTTAATTCATAAGATTTACCACATTCTCCTCCCAAATCAAATATTTGAGTGCTGATGAGCCTGACTCCAACAAAGAGGCAGCAAAGTGGTGGAAAAAGTCTGAGTCAGACTAGATTCTAGCCCCGCCTCTGTCACTACCTAACCATATGACCTTGGACAGGAATCTTAGTGTTTGCGTAATTTTGTTTCCTTACTGAAAAGCCATGCTTGTAGGACCAGAGGATCTCTTTTGTCCCTTCCAGCTGTGTCCTTCAAGGCATCAGCAACTTTGAAAAGGCTTAAGAGAAAAGAACCAGTTAGCAGTGGCCATTCTGTTCCCCCTTCTTACCTGGTCACTGGTTGTGCTATTGTAAAGCTCATATGAGACAAGATTTTTTAGAATTTTTGGAAACGTAAGGAGTATGAAGCAATTCAAGACAATAAGAGATGAAGGCAGAAGTGACATCCCACAGTAAATTGCCTCTTAACCCATCAGTCTTTCTACCCTGCCCCTTCTAACTGGGTCTATAATCTTTATCTTATTTATCCTTCATTTATTGACCCACCCAGAGTCTCAACCTCAACCCAAAGGAAGACACCTTTTTAACATTATAAAATTTCAAGGGGCAGCACATGATATTTGTAATTTCTCAACCTATTGGTTGAGAAAATATATTTAATCAACAATTAACAAATGTTCTTTGAGTACCCAGGGACTTAATGATGTGTAAAAACAGGTTCATGGAACTTTCACTATAGTAGCAAGAGGCAAAAGTAAAATATAAAATGATAGAGAGATGATGAATTTAATAACTTTTGTATCTTGTTAATCATAACACCTCTTACATTCATTTGAAAATAGCATATATATGCACAAGCATATCGTTTATTCAGACTATGTTTGGTGTGCTATTACAGGCCCTTTGCAACATGACTTCTGCCCCAGGTGAGGAATTTCTACATTGTGTGACTACTGTGTCCCTATCTAGAATTTAAGGTGATTGAGGACAAAGATCTTGCATGCTAATTAAATATTTGCCAAATAAATATATTGAGATAAACTGCTTGCTACTGCCTCAGACAAATGCCATTTTAATTTTTCACTCTATTATCTTCACGATGCTAAATGCTGACCAGAGGCAGGGGATAGTGGGGCTGAAAAAAGTGGTCTACACGGTCAAGCTAACAGAATCTCCACTATTTTGTATCTGTTCTCTCTGAGATACATGCCCTTCGCCAGGTAAGGGGACACAGCAATGGAGAAAGTACTCCAGTTTCAACTACCTCAGCCTAGAACTGTGTGACCCTGGAATGTAATTGTCCCATGGCCTCTATCTTCCCAACCACATCAGCCTGTATCTTTAACACCCAACATGGTTCCCACTCAATGAATTCTTATTGAATGAACCAATGGAATGCGAAAAAATAAGCTCTTTGCAATCCAGCATTACAAAGGGATCTTTAGTCCTCTCTTCCATGACACAACAGACTCTCTAGCACTGACAAAAAAACCAGTTAGTATCAGGCATCACCTGGAAACATTGCAGACAGGACTGGGGACCTCACATCAGTTGTCTGTGAAGTGTTCCCAGGACCCCAGGAAGAGGAGATTACTGGTGGCCGTCCAATGGCTGCTACCTCATTGTGTTCATTAGGCTGCATCTCTCGAATGAAACTCAGTCCTATTCTTGGTTCTTGAAGGGATGAGAGAAGCCTGCTATTTCTCAGCAACATTGAGCCTGTCTCCTGCCATTTCAAAGGAAGAGTAACAGAAGTCCTTTAAACAGAGTAAAATATGCACACAGGTACCCAACACACACAAAAGAAGGAAATATTAATTTTTACAAGGTAAAATTTCTATTAATGGTCAAAATTCTGGAGTTTTGGAATAAAACTGCCTCATATTTCCAAAGGTCTTTGAGTTTTCAAAGAACTTTTATATTAGGGATTTTATTTGACTGTCCAAACAACACCATGCAGTAGCTTTTATCTGAGAGGTGAGGGTTGTATTCACAGTGTTAGACGGCCTGCCCAATGTCACACAGCAATGAAGAGATGGAACTAGGGAGAGCACCTACACTTCCAACTTTGAACCTGGGCTTTTTGAACATCACATCATGATTATTATCTTCAAATCAATGAAGATCTTTTTGACCCTGGGATGTGGTTTGGGCACAATCACTTCCACCTTTGTGATTACTGTCAAACTTGGTTATTGTCTCCAATGCTTGCTATTTAAAATGACCACGGATGGCTAAATTTGAAGGGGAGAAGTTAATAAAAAGGCTGCTAAGAAAAGACCACTATCTTTTTATATTCCCTCCAATGAAGTCAAGAGCAGTTTCAGACAGTGTGCAGCTATCCAGTCCTTTCACGCTGTAATACTAAGCTACCTATAAATAAAACAAACGAATAAGCTATCTGTTTATGTGTTTTCAGGGGAAATTAACATTATAATAGTTTTCTTCTAAAATCTAACTTTTCCCAACCTCTTATCCACCATGTAGCTTGTTCTGAGAATGGGCTTTATTCCCAATATTTTTTTTCAAAACACTAAACCTTAACCTATCTCTTTGTATACCAAAACATTTATATAAAATTCAAGAAATTCATAACTCAGCATGACAAACAGATGGCTTTCTCCCTGTCCTTCCTAAAATGACATTCTGTACACTATAGGACTACAAATTTTTTAGTTTTACTTCTTTAGTTCTTAGGAAAAGGACATAGAATTTGTAAATGGTTAACAATAATTAGTCATACCTAGTTTGCATTTAAATCGGGCTGTTTATGTGTATTAGTTATGCATCAGCATAGTGCTATGTTTATATAGGTGTTCAATAAATATTTGATGAATGATTGATGCAACGCTCTGTGAGTACACACTGCCTTTGTCCTGTTGTATGACTTTCAGTAGAGAATACAAAAAGAGAATTATAAAGCATAGAGTAGAGAATTAGGCCTTTGAAGACAAAGATTCTAGTCATTAGCACTATATAATTAAATGACTTAGGGCAAACTGCTTGACTCACCAGGGCCTTTAAATTTCTTAATAACAGAATAAGAGTACGAATAAGAATTTAGATGGTCTCTAAGGTTACTTAAAGTGCTAGTAGTTTCTAATTGCAGATTGAAACACTGTCAGCCAGAGCTAACTATCACTGTCACCAGAAAATAAATATGGAATGAGGGGATTCCCAGGAAAAGGTCTGAGCTTCCTAAGTTTAAATGTGCCTCTTGGAGGTGGGGATGCTGGGAAGAAATATCAAGAGTCTAATTGAAGGCAATTAGAACTTCCCAGAGTCTGACTGAGATTGCTTTTAGAGAATTACCATCCACTACAGGGCCCTATAAAAGAATAGTACTGGAGAAAGCTACATGTAGGCTCTAAGGACAGAGGCAGGGTGCTGAGGAGAGCTGAAGTTCCTTTTTTTTCTTTAACAAAGTAAATGAGGGAAAAGAAAAATCTATGATGTACTGTTCCAAACTCCCAGAACTCGAGGGGAATGACTAAGACCCTAGGAGTACAAAATAGAAGAAAACTCAACAAAATAGAATTCATGAAAAGAGAACCCAACTTAAGTCTCTTAATTTTTTAAGAAACTGGCAGCTCAAATGAGACTTTCAACCAGACACCAAAAAGCTAGATCTGGGATCTAAACAAGAAAGAACTGTGCTCTTACAAAGGCCACAAAAAAGCTGAAGCAGGTATGTCAGCCTTAGAGGAGAAGATGGAAAGAGATTGCTCACAGGACACCTAACCATGAAGGGAAGCACCTTAAAGCTCAGAGAGTAAGTAATAACCATCTGGAAAAAGGTTATTACTTTATCTGCTTCAGCCTGTGATCCTGACAGTCCAGAATTTTCTCCCACTGTCCTACAGCACTTAAAACAACCATACAACTCTGTGTGTGTGAGAATTCTGTGGGCAGGAGCACTGCAGGAGCAGAGAAGAATGTGACTCTGAAATATGATCTTAAAAGGAGAGATACTCTTTCTTCCTCCACCTCCCATCACAGCACTTCTCCTTCCTTTGTTCCCTCAGGAACAGCAGAGAAAATTAAATGACATACAGGCTAGAGACCACTTAGGCCTGCCAAGGAATCCCTCAACTCTGCTTCTGGGGTGGGTGTCTCACCAGCTCATAAAGCTGCCCATCAAGAAGAGCATGGATCCTACCCAAGCACCCAGTATGCACCCATTGTTTGTAAGGCTAGAGGTTTTTCAGAGGATAAAAAGATGAACAAGACTAGGGTCGGTGAAGGACCTCAAAGATGGCTGAGCAAAAACTTTCTCCGAAAGCCATTGACTGGGTAGCTTCTGGGGAGATAATGTCTCAAAACGAGAAGACTATTGCTAACTCCATGAAATCCTGGCATGAGACCCTCACCTCCAGGTTGGCTTCCGTACCTGGGTATCCACCTGCTATTGGCTGGACTGACTGCAAGGCCCATATAGCAAAGGCTGGCTTGGTAGGTGACTTTGAGAAGAAGTTTAATGCCCTGAAGATTCCTGTGCCAGAGGATAAGTATAGTGCCCTGGTGAATGCTGAGGAAGAAAAAGGTGTGAACAGTTGTGCTGAGTTTTTGTCTCTCTCAAAGGCCAGGATTAAGCAATATGAGAAAGAGCTGGAGAAGAGGAAGAACATAATTTCATTTGATCAGATGACCACTGAGGATTTGAATGAGGTCTTCCCAGAAATTAAATTAGACAAAAAGAAGTATCCCCATTGGCCTCACAAGCCAATTGAGAATTTATAAACTTGAACCTGGGAGAAGGCTCTGGTCTCCATATTATAAACTCTGGACATTAAAAATAATTTTATGGGGGGAAAAAAGGATGAGCAAGACAGTATAATTACTCTAAGAGACTCCCAATCCAGTGGGGCAACTGAAATAATGAATAACTAAGGCAGAGTAAACAATGTACTATGTGTATGATTGAAACAAAGATCTAGTGCAGTAAGGGTTAAGATCAGTTCCAGGATGACTGGAAGGCTGGGAGATACAAGGAAACATATCAGAGGCAAGCTAGGAAGGATTATCTATTTCTCTCGATTCTCTGCCACCGCCTTCTTCTAAGCTATACTCTTCTCATGTCTTGCCAGGAAAGATTCCTCCATTTTTTTCTACTCCCTCCTATCAATTCCCTTCTCACGGGGCCACGGTGACCTTTTTAAAATGCTAGTCTCATGCTACTCCACTGTTTTTCAAACTTTCTAATTGTACTAAGCATACAGTTCAAGGTTCTTAACTTGACTTATAAGGGAGGCTTCACCAGTGTGGCTTCTCTCTACCTCTGTAGCTTCATTTGAGCCTCCTTTCCCAGTGTGGTCTATCTCAGCCTTGCTGATCTTTAGTCATTTTCTTTCCATGTACCTTCCAATCTGCCTTAGTGCTTTTACATTTGCCATTTCTCTGCCTGGAATATGCTTCACCCCCTTCCTCCTTGCTTAGTTAACTCCTGTACCACGTCCTCATACCTTCCCATATTCCTTTCCTGGCACATCCACCGCCTGTGTTCCCACTGGGTCACTACCTCTTATTAACAGTTCCTGAGGCACTTTGTGCTTTTCCTTCATAGCACTTCCAGTGGTTGATAAATACCAGTTTATTTGTGGAATTATTAATTGACAGCTGATACCCCCATACACCATTACATTCCTGGGGGCAGAAACTCTATCTTGTTCTCACCATTGTATCCACAGGACTTAGCTCAATGCAGGCATAGAGTAGGCACTAGGCACTCATTAGCTACTTCTTGAATGAATTAGTGGACATTTGCGATCAATCATCCAGCTCTTTATCAGAAAAAAGGAACTGAAGCTCAGGTAGGCAAACTTGTTCTAAGTCCTGCACTACTGAACCAGAAAAAATACTCTTGTCTCCAGACTCTGGATCCATTGTTCTCATCAACTTCTACCACGGGGCCCTGAAGATTGCTCAAGGGCCAGGTCATACGCTCCAATTTTATTGCTAGAACAAAAGGTGATTGAGAAGATAGACAAAAGGAATTATTCACTGGGTCATATGAACAATGAACGTAAGTGAGAAATTGAGAAATGAAAGACTGAAACTCAGAAGAAAAATTGATGAGTGGGTGATGTGGTTAATGTACTCACATACAGAGGAGAGGTTGATCTGACTGACTAGATTAAGATGTACACGTGTACAGGCGCAGGGCGGAAGGCTCCACAAAGACCGTACATACACCTGGCCAGCACCTAATTAAGAGAAAGGATTTTCAGGGGAACAAGTGGGTGTGCTGGAAAGTACAACGAGGTCAAGTTTTGTTTGACTGATTTTGGATCATGGGTTCTTCCTAGGAGGTGGGGGAGTGGCAGGCAATGGATAAAGGAACAAGGTGGGAATATAGGCAATCTATTGATGTTGTTATATTTGAGATATTGTATTTAATAAATAATGAGGATGCTGTTGAGTTTTTAAAGTGCCAAGCCTTAAAAAAGTGATGGAAGAATTGGAAGCCAAAGAAATAGTTTATGTCTGATGAAGTGATAGGGGCTGGAGATGAGAGAGGGGCTCCCTGCTGGCACCACACCCTTCTGTTCAGCCAGATCACGTCTTGGCCATAATGCTTCCTTTCAAACAGTGCCAGTGACAAAGAGAAGGTGTGAGTATGGGGCCACGGCTGGAGCACAAGGTGGAGGAGCCAGCAAAGGGTAGGCTGCCTCTGCCTAAGCAGGGAACGCAAGTGCTCTTTTATATTTCCGCTGAAAGAAGCACAACGTTTTAACTCAAAACTGGAGGGTTATTAGCTTCCCAACCAAAAGAAGGAGAGTCTCAGAAGCGGGATTCCACATAGCAGGGCTGCTTTTGAACTCCCCTGCCCTGAACATCTGCAGCCATTTCTATTCTTTACTTGTTGCCAACTTCTGCGTTAAGGACTGATATCTGCGCAGACACCTGGGTTCTGGCAGCCTCTGTTCAGTGCAACAGGCTGGGGGAAGCAGAGTCAGCAAGGAGAGGAGCAAAGAACTCTTTCAGCATGGCTCCGAGCCTCCGGCTCTAGAACAACTTCAGACGGCATAAATACAATGCGCGTGCTCCCAGCACATGGAGCCTCTCCTGCGGAAATGCTTCCAGACTCACTTCAGGGCAATTAAATAACAGGTATTAAAAACAATAAACTGTTCAGGGTACTGTAGGGAATACTAGTTTTAGATTTGATAAAAATAATAAAACATTTTTAAATTAATTTTTACAGAGAGAAAAATCAGAGCAGAGTAGTGGAAAGAGTTCAGACTTTGAGCTTAAGCCTAGTTTTGATTCCGGCTGGGTAACCGTAAAGAAGCTGTTGAACCTCTCTAAGGCTCAGTTTTCCTACTGTAAAAATAAATTGTAGTAGCCACTGTGGGGAATTTTGGAAGGACTGGAGATGAATATCTGAAAGCGTGTACACAGAGTCTGGAATGTAGTGGGCACTCATTAAATGGAAGCCACTTTACACACAACCATGAAAAACAATGCAGCACTTCTTTTGTTAACAACTTTAATAATCATTAATGAGATTATAAAGCTCCAGTTTATATAAATCAGCTTAAAACAGGTATACTGAGTTGGTCTCTGAGAAGTCATTCTTCATTCTCATTTCAGTTCCCAATTATCAGCTGCCTTCCCAGTATCTCTTCATTCATACAGGGGCAGTGAAGGGCAATGAAGAGAGGTTGTTTAGGTTTTGTTTTTAGTCACAGCAAAGTTAAGGACTCCATGTCCCTACATCACCCACCTTGACTTTGGTTTGCTCACCTGCTTGCACTTACAACTGCTTAAAAATGTACTTTAGAAGAGAAATGTATTTGGCTTAAGGCTTCAAATCCTGTTCAAGTACCAACACTTGCATATTACTAGCTATCACTTCTCTGAAGAGGAATCCCAAAACTACATCTTCCTCCTAAGTGCCAGCCACATAGCTTCAGCTTCCCAAAAGACAATCATTCCAGCTTACTCTGTAAGTTTTTAGCCTTGAGCAAAACTGGAAAAATTATAAAGTACTTAGAGACTATACAAGCCTGTGGATTGGAACACATTGCAATATCTGTGTGTGTGTGTGTGTGTGTGTGTGTGTGTGTGTGTGTGTGTGTGTGTTTATTAAAGAGTTTCAGGTCCTTTTCTTAGTCACAGATTTACTCATTTTTTGTGAACACACAGTGATCATTCTTCCTTGCAATACCTTCCCATGGTCTTCCAATAGAATGTCTTTCCCCCTAGCTTTACTGAGGTGAAATTACTGAAGTAAACATATACAAATAAAATTGTATATGTTTAAAGTGTATTACATAATGATTTGATATATATTATGAAATGGTTACCACAATCAAGTTAATTAACACATTCATTATTTCATGTAGTTACTATTTTGTGTGTGTGTGTGTGTGTATGTGGTGAGAACATTTAAGATCTCTCTTATAAAATCTAGTATACAGTACAGTATTATTAACTATGCTCTACATTAGAGCTCCAGAATTTATTCATCTTATAAATGAAAGTTTAGAAAGCGTATTTTAATCCTATCTCTATATCAGTCCCTAAACCTGAATCAAGAATCAGCTGAACTATAACATCTTCCACGAAGACTTTGCAACCATTCTAACCCTCAGTGGCATCTACTTCCGTAAACACATTCAAAAATATTTCTTGACTACCTTCAGTGTACCAGATTAGGCCTATGGTATTCACCATTTGCCACTCTTCTTTGACATTCAGTCATCTGCTTTGAAACACTTCTGCCATAATTTAGCTCTAGTTATCTAAGTGGTCACTGTATCTTGTCTATTTGCTAGATTTTTAAATGAACTTCTATTCTCCATAAACCCAGCATAGTTCAATGTGATAAAGATGATCCTTATTCATGTTTTGAATAAAAGAGCCACTGAAGTTCCCACAGAAACTACTTCAATATGTCATTGTTTACTCTTATGCACAAATAAATTCTGCATACTTATTCAATAAAGTTTTCACCAGACAGGGCGGGAGACTCAGAATTAGAGTTGTTAGAAGCCAAGTACAGTTGACCCTTGAACATTCTAGGATTTAGGGGTGCTGATACAACCCCCCTCCCAGCACAGTAGAAAACCCATATATGACCATTGATTCTCCAAAAACTAAGTTGTCCCTTGATATCTGTGGAGGGATTGGTTCCAGGACCTTCCCACGAATACCAAAATATGCAGATGCTCAAGTCCCTTACATATAATGGTGTAGATCAATGCATACAGTCTGCCCTCCATATCTGCAGACTCCCAACCCCAGATCCAAAACAGAACAGGTATTTATTGAAAAAATTCTGCATGTAAGTAGACCTGTGTGGATCAAACCCCTGGTGTTCAAGGGTTAACTGTATTTATATTTGCAAGTTCTCACTCTTACTAAAGCCAGTTCTGACTCCATTTCTTCCCATCCCCTCAACTAGATGAAGCTCACATTTGTCAGAGATATGCCTACTTCATTTCACACGAGAAATTTCTACTTTCTATTCTTTCACTCTTGCAAACTTTTATTTTAGTTTTCTACAGGTTTTATATATTTATTTTTAGAGATGTGCAAAAGAAACATCAATTGGTTGCCTCTCCCATTCCCCCAACCAGGGACCTGGCACAAAACCCAGGCATGTGCTGCACCCAGGAATCAAACAGGCAACCTTTACGTTCGTGGGACAATGCTCCACCCACTGAGCCACACCAGTCAGGGCCACTCTTGCAATTTTTTAAAGTAAAATGTTTTAATGTAAAGTATATATGCCC